GAAACCTCTCCCTGTCTCTTTGCGTCCTTTTGCAGGGTTGGATTGAAATTCCGTGCTAAATGCTTCTGCGCTGCCCCAGTATTGTGGAATACTCGATAGATTAGCAGGTGCCACAGTATATACGCTGTTGGATCTTAGGGACGCGTATCATAGAATTCGCATACGAGCGGGGGATGAGTGGAAAACGGCATTTCGAACACGATACGGACACTTTGAGTATCTGGTTTTACCCTTTGGGCTAACCAACGCCCCTGCGACTTTCCAATCTTATATCAACAAACCTCTCAGTGTAAATTTTGGACGTATATTGCGTGGCTTATCTTGACGATATCGTAATCTATTCGAATACGCTTGACGAAAAACGTCGCCCATGTTAAGAAATGTGCTGGAACGTTTAAGGCGATGGAGACTATATGTGAAACTTAGTAAGTGTACGTTCCATGCAACAGAAATTGGATTTCTGGGTTTTGTGATTACCACGCAGGGCATCACTGTCGAAAAACGCCGCGTCGATACGATCCTAGATTGGCCTGAACCGCGAACAATAAACGAGCTGCAAACATTCCTAGGATTCGCCAACTTCTACCGACGATTCATATACAAGTTCTCGATAATAACGGCACCCCTGACTGAGTTGCTAAAAGGATACGAAACAAAAAAGGGGAAGAACAACGCACCTGTCCAACTGAACGAGAACTGCAAGCGCGCAATACTGCAGTTAAAAGAATGCTTTACAAAAGCACCGTTGTTAGTTCATTTTGATCCGCAGCGAAAACTCCGTATAGAAACGGACGGATCTGGCGTTGCAATCGCCGCAGTAATATCGCAATTAATGGATGATGGTCACTGGCACCCGATCGCGTTTTGGTCCAGAAAACTCACAGAAGCAGAAAGACGTTATCAAACATATGATTTAGAAATGTTGCCGATTGTAGAAGCTTTCAGGCAATGGCGCCACTACCTACATGGTAGCAGGCACCCAATAGTTGTTTTATCTGACCATGCCAACCTCCGGCGCTTCATGACGACGAAGCAGCTAAATGGGCGTCAGATTCGTTGGATGCAAATGCTCTCAGCGTTCGATTTTGAAATTGAGCACCATCCTGGGGAAAATAATCCCGCAGATGCACCAAGTCGTCACTCAGATTATATAAAACACGCAGCTCCCTTGACGGGGCTCCCTACCCTGCAAGAGAAGCTGCGTAAGGGGATCTTTAAGTCACTAAAGACAAAAGAAAACACAAAGTTAGACCAATGTGTCAAGATGGTGCGAAAAAATCTGCAAGTTAAAGAAAATTGTTGGGCGAAGGGGCCCGTAGTCATCGATGACAACAAACCCTGCAGGATAAAGAACGCACCCTGCAGATGAGAACGAAGTCGCCGGCGTTACGGGGTTTAGACCTATGGACCCTGGTGCCACGGATTCTAGCCGTTAAGGTATTTTGAGTCCGATACAGCCTATCCGCGAAGAGGTAGCTGAATCTATTGGTCGAAACTCTTGCTGCAGGTTC